GCAGGGAGCCCGATGTGGGACTCGATCCAGGGACTCCAGGATCATGACCTGAGCCGAAGGCAGTCACTTAACCAACTGAGCCACCCAGGCGCCCATAAAAGGTGATATTTTTTGTTTATACTCAGGATGGTCCATATGTTCAAATAAAAAAAGAAGATTTCTTGCTGTCCAGAGAAGAAAAGCATTCCTAATATGTGGGTATTTTGCTTAACATTTCTGTAGGCAGATCATGAGTAGAAAAGCAAGGGTTTGTAGGGTCAGGCAGATGTGGTTCCAAACCACTTACCCAGCCACACCAGTGCAAAGACATGTGGTCCCTTCCAGGCTTTCTGTGAGTGGTGTGTAGTTTGTGAGTTAGTCAGGAGTATGAAAAGGAAGCAAACTCTGAGTCTAAGAGCATGCATGTTACATTGTGGCTTGTTGAGTCAAATGCTATTAGTTCTTAAACTTCCGAAGGAGCCTGAACCCAGCGACAAAACAAAAATAACTATGCCAGATACTACCTAGGAACAGAGGTGTAAATGAAAGAATTCTACATAGCAAAACAAAGAAACAAAGCAACAAATACTTTGTTGTCTCTCCATGGGGCAGGAATACCAGGACTAGTGGGCAATATTAATTTTCAGCTTCATGGCCAAGATGGTCAACATTATTTCAAGACAAAAGGATCCATAAGACACATGCACTCAGGCTAAGATCCTCAGCTTCCTATAACATAAATTTACATTACTTACATAGCCTTTCTGGAACTCAGTATAAAAGAGAATATGTCATTCTGAACTGCCTGAGATACATTGCTAAATACTTAATCAATGTCAGATTTCCCACTCAAGAATTTAAACAATTGCATGGCCTAATTTCTTACATTTAGCACAGTACCTACGTTTCACTTTAAAATATATATGAACACTAACTATTGCATGGAATCAAACAGACTAATCCTTTTATCTGATCTTTCTGGCCAGCACATGCTTCCCATGTGTTGACTCAGCACCACCAATGAGGGGAGCAACAGGTTGTGAAGACCAACAGCATCAAGGGACACAACGATGGATCTTCAACAAAGAGATCCAGCCATCCACCAGGGCCAGTCTGGGCCAATGCCTTTCCCTCAGGAGGCACAGGGCAATCTGCAGAATTTCTTAAAGGGGAAGCCAGTTATTCTTGGGGCAAGTACTAATGAAGGTCATCTAAGGATTTTGAGGTGGCTCGTATTCCCCTGAATTCGCTCTGGATCAAAGCTACGTGATTACCTGGGAGAAGAGTTTGGAATGGTCACAATAATTCCCATGTCAAGAGGAAAATAGGACGTTTAAATAAGAAACCACATATGCCATTTAGCCAAATCACCAAACTGTTTTATATTTGGGAACACTGAATGAAAATTTAAGCACTGATCATGGAATTCTCCAAAT